TCTTCGGTTAAAACATCCTGAATGGCTATTTTCAGCGTTTTGTGATCTTATTCCGCTGGTGCATATACGTTGTCTCTCGGCTATATGCTTTGTTATATTATCACAGCTTCTTTTCGTACTGATATTGACAGCTTTCTTCAACAACGTACTATGTTGCTTGGTCTTGCCCTCGTCTATCTACTCTTTTTCATTGACCGCTACATTTGTTCGGTTGGATACCTGGAGGTTATCGATGTTCTGTATTCTTATTCTTCATTAGTTTTTTATATATCAAGCAAACAGCGACATTAGGAATCGACCTCATATGGGTAGGTCGGATCATGTGTATTAGCAAACAGTAGTGACGGCTAGTATGGACCCTTGTGGAACCCCACTCGTTTACTCTCTCCTTTCTGGACGTTTCTTTCTTTACCTGTTACTCTTCTGTCATTCAGGTACTTCAAGACCCACTCTTCATCACTGCCTTTTATGTTACTGTTTAATGTGGCAAATGTGTGTGTGTGTGTGTGTGTGTGTGTGTGTGTGTGTGGTGTGTGTGTATGTATGTTATGATGTACGTGTGTGTGTGATGTGGTGCCGCCAGTGTGTCTGCTTTCAGTTAATGATACATTATCAGCAAGCCACACCTCCTTTAATCGATTCTTATACCCATCACGCCTCACACCAAGTCTGACCTCGAACAGGAGAGAGAGAGTGAGAAAGGGTAGGAAGAAAAGCAACGAAGGAGATGGACAAAGAGATAGGAATATGGGTGGGAGACACTACGGGGAATGTTGAACAAAGTAAGAGCTTCTCTTATTACCACTTCACTGGTGTTTGTGTAGACCACTATTCCTTTCTAGCTTTCTTTCCCTTTCTCTCTTCTTTTTTCTTCCTCTCTCTGTTGATAAATTAGACACATGTGCAACATTTGGGTATCTTTAATGAGGAAACGTTTCGCCTGACCGTGGCTTTCATCAGTCCATACAAAGGAGAATGGTGAAGAACAGGAGAAGTTTGAGGTAATCAGTCCCTCAGTCTTAATACAGGGAATTCTTCAACTTGCCTAACCCTTGGCATGACTTCCCACATTCGTCAAATGTGATGCCACCTACGACTGCTGCACCTCTCCTGCCTACAGTATATAAGCTGCTACTTCTCACATATGTTGTATTCTTTTCAAGATTGATGGACTGATCACATCGACTCAAGGCTGAGGGACTGATTACCTCAAACTCCTCCTGTTCTTCGCCATTCTCCTTTGTATGGACTGATGAAGCCACTGTGTGGCGAAACGTTTCCTCATTAAAGATATCCAAATGTTGCACATGTGTCTAATTTATTAACTTGTCGGTTCTCTGAACCATTCATTTACTCTTTCTCTCTCCCTCTCCCTCCTCCTCTCTCTCCGTCTCTGTTTTTCTCTTTCTTTTACTCCCTGTGGGGAGTTTGAGCCAAACGCCACTTTATGGACTTTGGATGAATGTTAGTAACAAAGGGCATATTACTTATCTTAAAGGTTGACGATCTAAGGATTCCAGGAGCTGCATCCTGGACTCCTTTCTTCACACCGGTTGTCTTTGTCCCCCGTGGCTGTAATAGGGTGAAACGTACAGGGTCAAGTATGTACCCTAACATATTTCCACTATTATTCAGGTGTATTTCACCTGGTGAAATCACGTAATTTACCTGGTGGAACTGATCGCCCGCGCATTGCGGCGTTGCAGAGACAAAACCTCCAAATTTGTGTAACACAACCTATTGGATCACTGCAGCGTCCATGGTCTGAAGTGTAAGAGAGGTGGATTACCTTATCTCGTGTAACTTAGCCGTGTTTTGGACGCGATATCCGATGGCTTGATGAAGATATGACGTCCTATTCCACCATGATTCACGGGGACGTCGTACGCTTCTTCATGGTTTAGGCACGTTAAACACGTCTTGGAAGCACTGTGGACAGTTCGTGCATATGTTTCTAGTTAGCTAATAAGTTATTTTATTGCATATTTAGACGATTCAGTGCGGTTTCAAGCATTTTTCCGACCAACTTCAATTTTTAGCACAAATATGTTATACTACTTGGAAAAAGTATGATTCAACTTTCAAAATGAAATACAACTTGAGCAGCAGTTTCGATTAAAAGTTTTCAATGGTCATTTCCGTAAACCCTATTTTGGGGAAAATTG